GATCGCGCTGTTCGACTTCAACCGCGACTACAATGCTATCACGACGATGAGTGGGTCGCGTGGTTCAAGTCAGCGTTTAAGGAAGGCCCTCAAGATCTGGACGTTTTGAAGCAACGTCTGCAGCGAGCGATTCGTTTCGATATGAAGATCTTGGACGCGGAGTCTCGCGCCGGTCGTAGGTTGGACGAGCTGATGCGCTCGTTGGAACAAGACCATCAGGAGTGGGTACTCCATCAACAAGGCAAGATGTTTGTCGAAGTCATGACGAAGTCGATCAAGCCGGAATCGCTGAAGACAGCGGATCAAAAGCAGCTGTAGCGGAACAAGCCGTTGAAGAGCGACGTCTTCCGTTACGTCGACTGGCTGCGAACTTTTGCAGCTGGCCACCAGCTGTACGTGGGGCTCGACGACGAGTCTAAACCTTCCCCGGCAGCGAAGCCGGTAGAAGCTCCACGACGTGGAAGGCCTCAAGTGCCCAGACGTGACAGCGACCGGGAAGACTCCGCCAAGAACAATGGCAGAGTCGGTGGAAAGGCCGAAGCGATCGTACCCAAGACCGCAGAGCCACCTACCAGGAAGGGTTGCTTGAAGTGCGGTGACATGAGTCACCGTGTGGCGCGGTGCCCGAAGACCGTGTCTGGTGAAGCCGAAACGTTGTTGGCAGCGCAAGTCAAGCTCTGGAAGGACGGCATCAAGGTGCTGGTCAACCAGCCGCAGCGACAGAAGGCAGAGCGCGGCGTGCTCTTGGAGAATATCGTCCGCATGGACGATGTGCTCTAGGACTCTGGTTCGGACGTGACCGTTGTCACGCGCGGTGTCATGGATGCGTTGTACGCAGCCGGTGTCAAAGTTGGGACTGTCTCCCATAGCGTGCCGCATTGGCGTACCCATATGGCTGTGACGCCAAGTCAGTTGTGATGACGCGCAGCGTCAAGTTCTACAGCGTGACACTGGACACGACGTGTGGATCGCTTATGTTGCGCGGTCTGAAGGCCTGGGTCGACGACGCATCGACTTCCACCGAACTCATCGTGAGTTACCCAGTCATGGAGTTACTGGGATTCAGCGTTGAAGACCTCCTTGTTGGGGCAAGGAAGAAGGAGGAAGAATGGGACGTTTCGTCCGTGCCGACGAATGAATTGTCCGGCATGGCGAATGTCAAGCGCCTGATGGCGGAGAAGCCAAGCGCCTGATGGCGGAGAAGTTGAATCCACCGGAGCTTGACCCCGACGACGGGATGGAGTGTACTACTCCGGAGGTTTATCCCAAAGCCTCCGTCGAGGACGACGTGGAGCGCGACCGCTCGAAGCACTGTTCAAGCCATTCTGACGGCCAAGGCAGCCGAGGCGGAGACGCGCGGGCTTGCGCCCGCTGAAGCGACGCGGCTGAACCACTTACTGGCCAAACACATTGATGTTTCCGGGAAGACTTGGGTGACGATCCGCCAGTCAAGGTCGAGCCATTGAAGGTCTGGATCATACCCGGCTCCACGCCGGTGAAGTGTGGTATGCGGCGGTACCCGCCGCTGTATGTGGAGTACATGCGCAGCCATGTGGCTGCCCTGGAAGCGAATGGTATGGTATACCAAAACAACCGGGCTACGTGGGCCAATGATTGTGCCGAAGAAGGAAGTCGGCGACTTGCGCATGACGATCGACAGCAGGCCGATCAACGCCTGCACGGAGCCGATGCCTTGGCAAATGCCCAACCTGGACAGCGCGATGGTCAGTCTGGTCGGAACGAACGTGTACTTCACGTTGGACTGGACCAAGGGGTACTGGCAGTTGCCGCTACATGCGGACAGCTACCCGCTACATGCGGACATATCTACTTCTCGTTCATGGCGCCCTTCGACATGTACACCCCGACCCGCATGCTCATGGGACAGACGGACGCTGTCGCGTACTGCCTGTCGGTTGTCCACCAAATGTTTGGTGAGCTGCTATTCCGAGGCCTGTTGGCCTGGCTCGATGACTTGCTGGGGTCCGCCAAGACAACGGACGAGCTGCTCGACTTGTTGGACCAAGTCCTGTCCATCTGTGCCCAGTTCAGACTCAAGTTGAGCCCGAAGAAGTGTCATATTTCTTTCTGCGCGAGGCAGAGTGGTATGGTAAGGTGATTTCGGTCGATGGAATCACCATTCCCCAAGCCGAATCCAAGGACTTGTGGATTTGTCGCCGCCGACGACCGCGGTCGACCTCCAGCAGTTTGTTTGTGCCACCAACTGGATGCATGCGAGCATCCCCGGCTACAACCAGCTGGTGGATCCGTTGCGACGTCTCCTCGACGGGGCCACCAAGGCAGCCGGAAGCTGCAAGAAAACGGCGTTAGTGCGTGTTGCACTCCCTGCCGTGGGATGGTCGTCCGACCATCTCAAGTGTTTCAACGATGTGAAACACGCGTTGGCGCATGTGGTGCCCTTGTCGTACCCGGGATAAGACATGATGGTCTGCGTCTTCACGGACGCCAGTGACCTGTTTTGGGGTGCGGTCGCCACACAAGTACCGCTAGCGGACCTGGACTTGCCTCTCGAAGCCCAGCGGCACCAGCTGCTTGCGTTTATCAGTGGGTCGTTTTCTGGCGTGGGTGCGCGCTGGCCCATTGTCGAGAAGGAGGCCTATGCGTGGTCGAGTCGTGCAAGAGACTCGACTACCTGGTCGTACGCCCGGGTGGTTTCCGTCTGTTTACGGATCACCGCAACTTGGTGTACATTTTCAACCTAAGTGACTCGAACGCCAACATGGCCATGTACCAGGCCGACAAGCTGCAGCGATGGCTGCTGGTGATGTCCACCTTCCCGTACACCGTTGAGTGCGTCTCGGGGGACGCGAATGTATGGGGCGACCTCCTGAGCCGTCGGTTTCGACTCCGACGGATCAACCAGTTGCGAATGTTCGCAAGTTGATCCATGTGGTGTCACCCCTGCAACAAGTGGATTTCGAGTGGCCGACAGCCGCTACGACCAGCGGCATCCAACGTTCAACCATGGAAGGGGGAGGGACCCCCCCAAACGGCGTGGATTGTGACGAGGACTCCCATTTTTACGTGGACCCAGACGGATGAATCTGGATCCCAGACGGTGCTGTGGACCTACAGCAGCAGATTTCTGTGATCGCTCACCAAGGAGCCAGCGGTCACCATCGCACCGCAGCGACGACCAAGTCCGTGTCCGACAAGTTTGTGTGGAAGACGCTTTCCACGGACGTCGAAGCATTCGTGCGTGCCTGTTTGCACTGCCTGTGCATTGACGGAGAAATGGTTCGCCATCCATTGAGTTCGGCGCTTCACAAAGAGTAGCCGAACGAGCTCATCCATTTCGACTGGTTATCGATGCCCATGGCCTAGTGTGGCCAAAAACAAGTGCTTGTCGTGAAGGACGACATGAGTGGCTTTGTGCAGCTGTTCGCGGCAGAGTCCGCTGACGCCGCCGCGACCGCTCAGTGCCTGATGACGTGGTTTACCACGTTCGGCTGCGTTGACACATGGGTGTCAGATGGCGGCTCTCATTTCAAGAACGAAGTGATCGAGAAGGTGCGGAAGTTTGTGGGTGCCGACCATCACATTGGCCCTGTATTGGCGTGGACTCTGCCAAGTGACCAGAGTCATCACAGACCAAGTGATGGAGACTCAGCAGCTGGTGCCACCGTATGAAGTCACGGTCCATCATGAGTGCCGACTGAAGATGTACCACGAAGGTGGTAGAGAGGTGACCGAAGACCTCGAGGCGCAGATCGCGTTCGGCGATGGCGGATTTCACGTGGAGCGCCTCGACGAAGCGCGATGCGTGGATGGCCAACACCAAGTTTTGGTGAAGTGGCCCGGACTGGACGATGAAGAATCGTCCTGGGAACCTGCGGCGAATTTGCTGGACGACATTCCAGTCGTATTTCGCAAGTGGGCGGGGGCCAACAAGGAGGACCCTGCCGTGGCCGCCCACACCAAGACTCTGGACTTTCCGTAGGAGGGGAAGTGTTCTGCAGCGTGCAGAGCAATTGGGTCGCGCGTTAGTTTGACCCATTGCAAACACACACACTCTGTGTGCGTGTCGTGTCGAAGGTTCTGATACCTTAGTGGAGGTACTGAGTACTTTAGTGGATAGTAGTCAGTAGGCGCCTCGCGGTTTATTGAACCTTGCTAATTCAGTGTTATACTTGCTACCTTGACGAAGGTCCCGTGTCCGAAAGCCAAGAAGAAGCGGGAGACAAAACAATGCTCCAATATATCCATTTGGATGAGAAATGGTTCTATCTGACCAAAGAGACACCCAATTACTACCTCGTACCTGGCGAAAAGGAACCAAAACGAACGTGCAAGAGCAGGTTCATTACGAAAGTACAAGTCACGGGGACATTGTGGCGTGGGTGGACGAGGCATGGGCTGACATTCCAAGAAGCACCATTGTTAGCGGGTTCACGAAGTGCAAACTCGTCTCTCCTGAGGTATCTACGTCATCTACTGCTGACTCACTCATTGAAAGTGATTTGGATATGGATGGATGACGCCATCTTTGCCGCTCTAGTGGAACTTAACTTGGTTGTGATCGTAGAACTGTAATTTCACAATTCGTAATGTCAATTGTCTTTCAGATGTATCACTATCTTTATGATACAATTAGGAGTGTGTACTTGTTTTGAAGAATTATCGTCCTATTTTTAACAAACAGTGTCGCGTTAAATCAGTTGCTTTAACAGTCGATGAGACCATCCAGGGTTTATACGAGTGCTATTTTCTGTGTGTTGGAGAAATAACCTGTGCAAATTCAATGGTAAGAAATATCGAAGCATACAAGTATTACATCATTACAGGTGGCCCATCTACGACATTCGTAAGAATACTTTGGTCGTCGCCATCACTTTCGTCGTCATCGCTGGCCTCGTCGTCGTCCGCCAATGCAGGCTCGTTTGCGACTTCATCCGAGGCTTCCAAGTCAGCCAGGTACGTGTTCAGCTCAAGCACTTTCTTCTTGGTATGATTGATGCAACGATAGATCATATCACCTTTTAACTCGCTGAAGATAAGGCGAGCCGCGCCCGCACGTCTTCCATGGTCGTGTCCGTGGTGTATTGCCGACCCACGTTTCCCTTCAGGTAAGCCCACACGTACTCGATAGGCTGCAGATCCGAATGATAGGGCGGCTTGTACACAACTTCGTAGCCACGGGCCGGTGCCATCGACACGACTTCAGGTACGATGTTTTCTTTCCAATACGCTTGTACCTTCGACCATCACTGATCGGTACTCGTTCGCAGACTCAGCCACTCCAAATCGCTCACAGGCCGCCAGGGGGTCTTGCTTCTTCCACGTGCCTTTGGGCGTGTCAGAGGGGACGACCTTGTGGTACGATGCGTTGTCCATCACAATCAAGGCGCCAGTCTTGCCAAGTAAGTCGAGTTCATCCATTAACTATTTCATCCAGTTGACAAAGTAGGCATGATTGAACGAACATGCCATGATAGTCCTTCGTTTGCCTATGGCCGCCCCGAAAGACTCGCGTGGTCAAGAGCTTCGACCCATCAGTGCCACCGTCGAGGATGCCAGCAACAAAGCAGAGCCGCTGGCCCTTGTGCTTTGGTTTCGTGGCACGTCGTCGGGGTAGTAGAGTCATTGTGTCGGGCGTAGTTGTGATGGATGAAGGATTCATTCATGTAAACAACAGGTCGACGAGGTGTTAATTCAATCGTATCAGACATATATTTGATGTACTTATCTCTAGCAACAATAACTTCGTTAGTCAGTCCATACTTGTTCTGACCTTTCTTGTGTCCTCGTTTAAATCCACGACTAAAACGATAATCCTGTACAGATCGTAGGTATGCCTTCGTATCTTTCTCGTCAGTTTCATCGTACGCAACATGAACATGCTGTGCCAAAACTATCATAACATCTTTTGCTACGACTCGTGTTCGTGTTCGTCGTCGCTCGCGTACGAATTCTACAATTTCACGAAGCACAGCTTATGTCCTTGGGACTCGAGATGTATGAAGAGAATTGTTAACAGGTTGTTGTTTGACTACAATGATTTTATATCTCGGTACTGTTGCCACACCTCTTGTACAACTTTTTGGCTGCGTCCGAGAATTGGCGCTACGTGTTTTGTTGCGGAATCAAACTTTTCGCGCCTGAAATGTGCGTGCAACAGAAGTATGTCCAGGCGTTCTTCTTTGGTCAACGTTCGTGGTCGCTCACTCTTTACGTAAGACGTGATCTCTTCGTAGATGTCGTCGGTGACGGTCGTGTGGGGACCCATGCCAATGCGAAACTGGTGGTGGCGTATCATGTTAAGGTTATCCGGAACTATCAGCAAAGAAAGGTTTGGTTATGAGTGGTTAGGGTAAACTCTAACAAAATATAATATCCGATTTCACAATGTATTGTTTTCCATGGGTAAAATTAGACCTGAAATAGTTTGTTTTTTTCGATCAAAACTCGAAGGCAAATAAGTTTAAGGCGGAATTTATGGTTCAAGTGAAATCGCCATGAAAAACTCAACCGATGTGTGTAATTTGGTCATCCAAAGCTGTGAGATACGTAAAATGGGTTAAAAAAAACCTCGATGGTATCGTCGACTGTAAATTTTACTTTTGTTAACGAAATACCTTTTAACGAAATACCTTAAAAAGTTATTGAATTCGGCCACATTCAGGCTCCATTTCGTCCCATTCGGTTTTACTCGATTCAAAACGCATACAAATCTCGAAAACACATACTCCCCACAACGCATTCGAATTGTCCATCAAAGTTAAAAACGTCGGAACAGAAACTGGCGATGCGCAACGGAGTACCACACTCTACATTGAGTCGTAAAGTACGGTAATGGTGGCAGTAATAGCTAACAGAGGAAGTAGGTGAGCCCGTTGCTCTGCTGCCGGAGTTAATAGTCGGTTGGCGCAAGTTACTACTTACTTTTCGTCGTAGTGAGCCTAGCATAGTTTTCAGACTTATTCTGTTTTTCAGACTTATTCTGTTTGTAGTATGAGTTTGTAGTATGAGTTTGTAGTATGAGTTTGTAGTATGCGTTTTCAAAACACTCCTATCTGCGGTAGAACGGGGTTCGGTATTTTGAAGATGGGAATCAGTGCAAGTGATGTGGGGTCCTAGCACGGTTCAAGGCACCGGTAGGAACCTTGAACCGTGCTAACACTAATTCGCGCATCTAAACTCAGTAACGATGTGGTCTTTGACGCGCTGGCTTGAAAGCAGTTAGCTCCACCTCGCATGAACATCCATTTGCGTCGCTGTTTGACACGTGACGTGTATGTCAGAATGCAAGTCGGTGCGAACTTGTGGTTATGTCCAATCACATCGCTAATTGTCTCGTGACATGTTGGTCCGAACACAGTCGGCGCCATCTCGCGGGCACTCCAATAGCTCCGCAGATTTACTGGTGATGTGTTCGTCAGCGTGCAGTCGAACTACCTTGCAGGCACGACCGCTGTGTTGATGTTAGTGAATTGCAATGGGTGAGGTATCATGATGATAGAGAATTTCGTATTCCTTTGATCACATGTCACAACAAAACAATATTTGACCGAATAGAATAGTTGCGTCTTAGTTTTGTGTTTTCGTATTGAACACTGAATTTTCTGACTGCTCTGGAACTGCGTCACTTCCACAACCTCGCCGCCGCTTGTTGAAGTGTTGTCTACTAACCCTTCTCATTCATACATGATAACATTGACTACTTGGTCGTCATTTCTGAAAACGCATCATTAAATTCGGCGATTTCTGATCCAAAATCTCCAAGCCCTTTGAAAAGTGTATTTGAAAAGTGTAAATATGGAAATCTGGGCCATTTGTCGAGCGATCACCATCAGGTAAATCAGATTTCATTTTAAAAACGACGTCATTTGAAATTTCACAATAGTTAGAAGCAAAAGACACTTTTTGACATTTACAAACCCGAGCTTAACAAGCTACTTTAATGAGAAATGTAGTTTAGATGTTCGGGTAATGGTGACTGGGTGGCATGAGCCGGCCTCGCATCGGTGGGCTGGTACATTCCTCCACGCAATCGACATTCATAGGCTCGTGCTAGCCTAAAGTGGTGACTTCCTCGAGTCTCTTAATCTATCGATACAATACATATCTTGGACAGAGCGATACAGTAGCTAGACGCTAAAACCATACTGTAAGGGTAGTGAAAATTATTTCCCCTTTTTTCCCTATATTCATGGAAGGAAGCCTCCTACCCTTGGAAAATAAGCAGGGTACAAGAACTGAATATTTCCCTAAGTAAAAAATAACGGGCCCGTAGAAAAAGTATCTCTTCCAGTTGGGCAAACGCACAACAGTGGATTGTAATGTAGGTCCTCGTGCCAAAAAAGGTTGCGTTGAACACCAAACTGTACATTCGTTCAATTGTGGTATAGTCGGAAAATGGCTTTAACCCAATGCAATGATTCATTGCGGCTACACCTCCAACGAACAGCTCAGTGGCAATCCACGAAATCACAAATAGCAAGATAAAGGCCACTCAGCCCATTTGATCCTTTGTGGACATATCCAGTACTAGTAGTTCGTTGCATCCCCAAATCAACGGTCCTGGTAAAACCAGATATTTAGGCACGAATAGTTCTTGTTGCGGTCAGCGCAACCAAACTCATTGGTGCCCAACCATGTGGCAATCGCTCCATTCGATGCTATAGCCATGCTGCAATGCGTCTAGAGTAATATGCTGACACCCGGCAACGAGGATGGCTGCACCTTTGTCCAGCCCATTCTGAGCTCAAAACGTCGCCGACTAGTATCATCGGCATTCGTTTCGTTGACGTCGAAAATTGTTGAACGCTTGTTCTTCGCTGCCAAATGATCGTTTCAGACCACCGCCAAAGTTTGTACTCTGTCCATGTAGAGTTGCTGCTGTCCCTGCATGTAAATCGGCAATTTTCGAACGCTCAGGTTGTTCAACAAGCCGAAATTGCAAGGCGACTTCCAAGTCACCCTAGGGAAAATAGGGTCGCTTAGTACAGTAGGGGAACGTTTTCAAATAGGGAAATATAGCAGGGCAGCCAGTGTGCATATTTCCAAAAGTATGGTTTTATTTTGATCGCCTTCCCTACTATTTCAGAGTACTTTCCCGAGGCCTGGCTAGACGCCTAGAATAGATGGCGGAGCGACTGGGTTGTCATTCTTCAAAGAAAAGGAACCGAGGAACCAGAGATGCGAAGCGTAGGCGGGAGAATGGGGGAAGCTCAAATCAGCGCCACAATACCCATCGAGATTAACGACGGATTATCCCCTCCCTAGGGCCGTAGTGCGAGCAGATTACCCTCCCTATGGTCCATAGGGATTGAATTCTTGTCCAAATTTGATGAATCATATCATGTTTAAAAGAGAATAAAAATCTAGAGGAAAGTTCTATTGACTGCAAAGCGGGAAAAGCAAATTTTGGCGCTCGATTTTCACTTCGCCATCGGGTCTCCGAATAAAAATACAAAATGTGGAATTCAGAATTGAAATTTCCGGGACCTAAACACGTCGACAACCATGGCACGACAACCGACCGGAAGAGAGCTCTCCTACGCCAAGAAGATGGAGGTGATCCGTCGCCTACATCACCTGTCGACCATGAGCAATCTTGCTCGCAGAGCAATCGTTTCAACTGCCTTTCAACTCAACATTCACCGAACCACCGTCTCCCGTATCTGGAAGGTCTTTCAACGAAACGCACTGGTGCCATCGTTAAAGGCAGACCGTGTCGGCCGGCCGCCGATATGCACACCAGATCTTGTCGCCAGTTGCGAACTGCCGCAATCGCTCCGCTCGACAATGCGCGACATGTCGGAATGCACTGATATTCCACTTGCATCACTCCATCGGGCCCTGATAGCAGGAACGATTCAACGCTGCAGCACTCGCATCAAGCATCTGCTGTCTGACGACAACAAAGCAGAACGTCTCGCATTTTGCGACATGTGGGATGTCGTACACCTTGACGAAAAGTGCTTCAATGTGATCACGCGAGTCATTCGAGCTATCAAGGAAAATTCCCTACCACAAACAAGCGCGTAGGGATCCAGCACGACAATACGACACCCACGGAGGCAGCACCGGTGCTGACCTTGCGTGCGTCTCGGCAGACGGGTGGCCCTTCATTGTTTACTGCCAGCCACCAAAGAGCCCAGATCTCAATGTGTGAGATCTGGGCTTCGTTGCTTCCATCCTATCGCTGCAGTACAAGTTGGTTAGTCGTACTTTGGATGATGTCATATTCATGCCACCCTCGCTGTCTTCGTGGCATCCCCCACGACTGCTCCATTTGCGTTCACACTTTAAACATATTATGGGAGGGCATCCTTTCCAAACTTCAAGTCGTCCGAACTCCGTGTTCTCCGTGCAAAACACACGGACGTGGCGTTAAACATCCGTTTGAAAACTGGTCCATACCACAAGGTGCAATACGCTCGACACTTCTACACCTGCAGGAACTGATGAGTCCCGTCTAACCTTTGGTCGGACGTACTTTTGGCTGTTTTTCAAGCTCGTTCCGTTCCAAGCCCGCTTCTGGTCCCTCGAGCACCTGAACCCGAACATTCAGCTCTGTCCCTACGATTGTTTTTACGTCGAGACCGACATGCACGCAAAGTTCACCTGCGTTGCCATCACCAAAGTGATTGTTTCAAATGATGTTCCATCTATTTCGATTTTTGATGCAAATCAAGTATATTGCATGTGGTGGATAGCGTTTTAAACTTATATTGAGCAACGTGTGAAATATACCGGTTGTGGGGTGACATATACCAGCCATAAGACGAAATATACAGCAACGATGTAGGGTCTGGACGAACTGTATCGAATGTTTGGCAAACATAACGCACATGGCGTGAATCAGTTGTGCGTCTGACGAAATATACCGGAAAAAAAAAAAACCTGAAATTAATGGAAAAGTGGTGTAGTAGACGCGAACTCGACAATGCGGCTTCGAAGTAATATAACACATCGCATTGTCGGCGTATTATATTACTTCGAAGTAAAACGAACGCAGGAATACAGAGAACGACGGAATGGTACGCCACAGTTGCCTTCGAGAGGTTGGGAATTCTCGCGATTTTATTGGATTAGTGTGACGGCATCCAAGTGGATAGGGGAAGGGGCCCAAGTTCAAACCCCGGGCAGTGTCAAGCTTTTTTCCAAAACTATATTAATTTGAGTATTGCATTACTAAAATCAAGTTTACTTTTTCTAAAATTATATAATACTCACAATTATATTCGATCAAGATTGTTGGTTGTGACATCGCCAACAAGGGTAAATCATTTTCTGTTCATTTACTCCTCAATAAATGGTAGAGCTTTCACAAAGCTGTTGCGAATCTCGGTAGCCGTCACTCGCTCCCACGCGGCGATGGCACGCTTCACCATCGTTTTCCTCTTCTCAACGGCTGTCGGGGTGTCGAAATCGTCGCCGTCCTGGGATGCCGCGGATGATGAAAAGGATCGGGAGCTTGTCTCCGTTCCAGCGGACGGTGAGCACAGCAGACATACGCATGGAGTGTTTCTCGCAAGTAGATATCTTCGCGTCGCCACCGCGAGCAGACCAGATGTACTTGGGCGGCATGTCATAGTAGAACCCGGTCTCATCTACATTGTAGACGAAATCGCGACCAAAGCCGTGGTACTGCCGGTGGAACTCAGCAGCAAAATCATCATGTACTTCGATCAGGACGGATTGTTTGTGCTTCTTTGCCGGGTCGTTGACGCGTAAATCCATGGCGGTGACAAAAGCGCTCCAGCTATCGTAGGAGCCCTTGGTACCCGGTGCCGGGGATCTTGCGTGCAATGTAGGACCGCTGCCAAGCCGCCTGGTGCCTCTTGATCCAGCTGATGATATGCGACGTTGTTAACGCCGTTCTTGGGCTCGCATTTGGTTAATGTAGTCAACGAGACCCTCGGGATCGGGAAATTCTTCAGGACGCCCACCTGGATCGACTTTCATTCGTTTTTTGTTTCCCGTTGTAAGTAAGGATGTCACGTTCTTGGTTCACCCACGTACGGATGGTGCGAATTGGAATGCTTATCATGTCAGACACTTGTTGGTCGGTACTTGTTTCCAAAAGACCTAGCACCTTCAGCTTCGTTGCGATGGTGTAGTTACGCTTTGGAATGCGCATTGTTGACTGCATATCAAATGAAGACCTGAGGTACGGAGGAAATTCAAAAAGAAGTGCAGGCGGGTAATTATTATTTCTTGCCAATCAAATGTTAGGATTCTCAATCTCGACTTCTATTGGACAAAATATGGCAGCTGTTTCGATCGTACCATTCCGACGTTCATGAGTTGGGCCAAACCAATCTGACTACCATTGGTCTATATTTCAAGTTTAAGTCATTTAATTGGCTAATATGTTTCATTGAACTGAATGTTCACCACAGTTCATAAATCATATGGTATGATGGCCGATGTCAAGTGGGAGTTTACAGGCTCATAGAGCCTGTTCCAAGTAGCTTTCAAAATGGGCATTATCCAATCAATACGCTCCCCAACTCATTCCAAAATCTACTTTTCAAAATGAGGTACATGACCCCATTTGGACAACTCAGCATTGTCCCCAATGACTGGCTAATAATGGATGCCTCACTATCCAATCATTGATCCCAATCTCAGTCCAACTTTCAATTTGACATCATGGACCCGACCGGTTGCTGTCATTGCTGCCGTTGGCGCCGCCCTCATTTCAACGGACGTAGCAACCGCGCCCTTGCCATCAACACTGTTGTCGTACCCAGTACCACGTGTCAGCAAGTCAAGTCCGACGGCACAGACGATGGATGGTTCACGCGCCACCTGCGCTGCACCCGCCACACTTTCTGCGCATCGCCGACAACACTGTGTTATTGGCCAATGAACATGCATCCTAGTCTAATGATTTATGTCCAATCAATCATGGTCATAGAATGGGTAGAAAATGGGATGAAATATTTTGTCACCCCATTTTTCTTTTTTTTTCAATTCTACTTGGAACAGGCTCTATAGCAATTTGTTGCTTGGTATACTGTAGTAAACCAAATATTTCACCCAGACTTTCCTCTTTGTCGTTGGAGAGGAACTCAATTTGGAGATCTAGTGTTTGTTACATTGCAAGCGGTGATGCGACAAGGCCTGGAGAACATTGATGGTAACCAATTTCGCTTGCTGCATTTGCGAAAGGATGCCTTGCATCGTGCCGGGGCACTCATGTCCAATGTATCCGCAACTCGGGTCGTGCAACCTGTCTTCGAAGGCTTGCAATGTACGAGTACACCTGTGTGCAAACCTGTGTAGAATAGAACAAACACCACGCCATCTCCCTACCCACATATGCTGCCTGCGTCGTCTCCATGTCACGGCAGGTCCAATCGCGTTTGATTCCGTTCCCGCAACAATTGCATTTTTCGGATACTGTATCATGCACCATGCCCCATCCCTCCAAAAATATCCAGCTCCAGACAGATGACTTGGGAATATCGGGGATAACGTTATACTACGTAGTAGAAAAAACGTCAATGGAATTTCGAAATATCCGGATATATCGACTGAAATTTGGCCGAAATATGCGAATATTTGGCGTCATTAACACGCCCTAATAGTATTGTAGGATGAACAGGCAAAATAAGTGAGAAAGAAAAAGTGATGTGGTGTGTGGGATTTGAACCCAGTATATCCACGTACAAGTCAAGTTATGTATCCAATGGGCTGCAGGATTGACATATCAATTGAGTGATACGTTTGGTATCATCGTGTGAAACCCTTCGCCATCACGATACTGATTGGTAGAAAACCAAGATTATGACCAATACAATTCAACCAAAATCTTTATTTTCAGTTTTCAGCGTATGAAAAGTTACCCACTTCATATGCACTTTTATCAGCACCATAGAATTTCGACACGATTTCAAGTCCTGCGAACTGCATAAATTCTCCTCATTAAGCATCACTATTCCAATGAGCATCCATCGAAGGTATCATGGAACGATGCCCAAGCGTACAGTTCATGCTGAAATGTCCCACTTCTGCAGTAAAGTCGAGAAATTGTACTTCGACTTAGGGTGCGTCAATGCACCCTCAAGAAACCTACGTCGTAGGTACAGAGAACCGAGTAGGAACTCGCGCACAGTGGTATCGACACTATTTTTTTCCCATGGAGCATTCATAAATTCCGACGTCAACCAATAGTATTTTTTCATATTTTATATTTTAACCAATAGTATGCTCATAAAAAGTTTGTAAATTGTATGATTGGATATAATAAATTAATCCGATTGATCTGATTGCAAAATTATAATTCGTACTCGGAATCACAACTTGCGCATTCGCATACAATTCCCCATATATTTCAAAATACCACTGTGCGCGAGTTCCTACTCGGTTCTCTGTATCGTGATCAAATATTACATACGAGTATCAGCATGGGTATTGGATATACAACCGGTGCAATCAACTGGAGTAACTGTTCAAATAGCAGTACTGTAAGGTGATTCATTCCCCGCCAGCGAGGTTGTCCATTCGACTTAAACTTCGACTTCGGGCCCAAAACGCCATTTTGGGGCCGAATTCAACAAATCTGATCAAAATTCAAACATGTCTTGTTCGAAGAGTTTTAACCCAAATCCAATAATTCCAAGTGGGATTTACTCCTTGAAGCCTTGAAGAGGTCCAAAACACCACCTTACAAAATGGACCTTTTACCTCCATTTTGAAAATGGCATTTTTGGTTTATCCCATTTTGCGAGTAAATGGAATATTATTTTTGAAATGTTACCTGTCAGCATTGCCATATTATGCCCTTATTAATTCCGACTACCGTCAGTACACAACAGTGAACTGGTACTGGTAGGACTGTACTACAGTGTATGAAGTACTATTAATAGTACTGGCAGTATTGTCGATTTTCTTCAAATCTTTCCTTGGTTCGTTCAATCGAGCTCAAATAGGCTGAGACATCTGATTGGCCATTATCCACTTCGCCCTTTCCGGTAGAAAATCGAAAATGGATTGCAGCCAACCAGCGACAAATAATATCGGATTGACCAATGGGAGAGATCGGTGCTCTTTTTTTTGTTGGCAAGAATCGATATTAAACGGGGTCCGGAAATTCATACCGAATCTCCAATATGAACTGGAGACTTTATTCGTGGCGCGTAATACAGTACAGTAGTAACTCAACCCCATACATTTTGAGGTTCAAATTGTTGGAAAATGACACATGCCACCTGGATATCAGAGTAACCAGCGCCAAGATACATGATCCCCTCGGATTCTTGACCTGCCCTATGGTGGCTGTATGCTTGCGATTTTCAAACCCTCGAGCTTCTAGACACATGAAGATATTTCGCTCCCTCTTGCTGGTTGGCGCGACCGTCATTGCCGCCTTGGACACGTACTCGGCCAAAATTCTCGTGGACACAAACACCTTCGAATGCGAGCTCATCGATTCCGTCCACGTGGCCCAGCTCCACCGTAGCGTGGAGCACCCGGACTCGTTCATCGAGCTCACAACGAAGCGAAAAAGCCACCTCAACGACTTGGACCTGCTCCGGAACTCGGAGGAAGGCGCCCAAGAGTTCGTGGAAATCGTCGGGGGTAGCGTCGACGCTGTGCTGGGCCAGCTCGCAAAGCGGTGCCCATCCGGTGCACTGCGCCACAACGCAGTGCGCTCAGCCGAGACCTTTGCCGAGACAACCGTGATCAAGAAGATCGTCGACTCGGGCCCCCCCAAGAACCGCATTGATATTGTGTTTATGGGCGACGGGTACCAGGCGTCGGAAGAGGCGTTGTTCTTCAAGGACATCCAACGCCTGACCGACGAAATGTTCACCGGGGACACATTCACCCAGTACCTCCCTCTCTTTAACGTATGGGCGGTATACGTGCCATCGGTGGACTCGGGCATCGGCGTGGGTGGCAAACCTCGCAACACTGCCTTTCAACTGTACCGCGACGGCACCGAGCTGCGCGGCGTGTACCCCAACAAGCCGCAATACGCCCGCGATGTGTGCAAAACCGTGGGGGAGTTCGCGTGCGACTTTCCGTCGTTGATCGGGAACGACGCGTTCTACGGGGGTCTTGGGGGGGAGTTCGTCGTCGCGACAAGCTCGGTCACGTCGGGCACGGTGGTGCTGCGCCACGAGATGGGCCACAACTTTGGCCGAGTCGGTGAAGAGTACGACGGCGGCCAAGTGTACCGAGGCGCCAACGCGGCCACGTCGATCAACGTGGCACCGTGGACGCATTGGCTGACCAACCCGGATGTGATCCGCGAGGAGAAGGCCGTCCAGAGGTTCCAAAAGCACATCTGGTACGATCTCCAGAAGGGCTCGTACCAGATTAAGTTTACATCGAACGGCGCGTTCAAGCGATGGTACATCGAGCTGTCCGTTTCCGGCGCCGACACGAACGATGCGCTGTCGATCACGTTGAACGGCGATCCGCTGCCGTGGACCACCAAGGGTGTCAAGGACCGCTCATTTTACTCGTGGCGCAGCTCGGACGCGGGGTTCCCAGCCGGCGACCACGTGCTCAACATCACCGCGGGCGGGCCGTTCGACAGCCCGATCATCAAGCAGCTGTGTAACGCCGTGATCTACGAATACGCCGGCGAAGACGAGTTCAAGCTCGACGACAACGACCACATCGGGTTCTACCCCACGTGGGACATCAACAAGCGCCTCTCGTACCGCCCCGACAACGAAAAGTGCCTCATGCGTAATATGACGTCGCCCCAGTTTTGCGCGCCGTGCCAGGAAAACATGTGGCTGCAGTTCCTGACGCGCATTTCCTTTATCGAAGACGTCGTTGTGACTGGTAAGGACGTCGCGCTCAAGCTCATCCCGCTGGGCCAACTCCGCCCCAACCCCATACCCAACGAGCGGTACTCGGTCCAGTGGTTCAACAACGACAACGAAGTCACGAAGTTCCGCGACCAGTTCAACATTGACGTGTCCACCATGTCTGGCGTCGCCAAGCAGTGGACGGTCAAAGTCAACTTTACCACTCCCACCATACGCATCGACTCCAAGGGCGTCACCCGTGCCGAACGCACGTTCAACGTCGACTACACTCCCCCGTCTACCACTCTCACCCCTACCATTACTACGGTTACCCGTGCCCCTACCACGAAAACCCAGACCCCCACCACCACCAAGGCTACGCCCACCGTCGCGCCCTCCCCTACGACCCCTACGACGACGAAGGCGCACTGTTTCGGACGATAACGGATTTTAGGGTCATCACATGAATAATATTATCCAATCAAATATATTTTACGATAATACTACAGTAACGTTAATCAATGATTGGCTACAAAACGGATTCGAGTGAAAACATTTTAAATGTCCGGTTGATGATTGTCATGCAAGACAAGGAACTGGGACTGTACAGACCAGTCAAACAGTCGTCTCGTCATTGTGCATGTCGACTCGGGTTGTAGCTAGCTCGCTCCTGGACAGCCTGGTAGGGGAGCAAGCTAAAAACCGAGTCAAATGGAAGGGTGCGAGAAGTCTCACGGCAATGAAATTGTGCCTGCACCTCATCCGCCGAAATCGCCCGATGAACATTGCCTGCAAGTATTGACAAAATCACGATGAACATCGTCGCAAGGATGTGTCGTAAATTCTGCATATGCTTAGAGGTCGTGTTGTGGGTGGTTGAAAATGCATGTATTTGGGCCAACCAAATACGGCTATTGCAACACATGAATGCAATACTATTAATAGTAGATCTTTAAACCAGCAGCTGTCTAACTTCCAATTACTGATATCAGGATTGTAGTGCTTCCGAAATAGTAAGTACTACACTGTGTAATAGCAGTATTTTAATTCGTCAGTTAATGGCAAAATATACATGGACTTTGTTACTGATTAGGGAAATCTCAGTTTATAGAAATTCGTGTGTCAGATTACGGTGGAATAATGGGACCTGCATTAGGCAATAGAGCTTTTCCTGGTCTTATACATGTGTCCACATCATCGAGGTTGGCTAAGCGCAAGCGCAGTGAAGCTCAACGCCACTATCGTTTGAATCGCCAAGAGAGATCGTCTATTGACAGCAACCGCACTACACGCTTGTTGTCGCCATCGATGAATCGTTCGAACAATCATTCGAACAGCAGCTATTAGATGATGGATTTATACCATTAATAAAACGTGTTTGGTGATCGATTTGATTCGCTTACCATCATGTCTTCGGTGGCATAACTCCTGCTTCACCACGATACCGGTCAGTGCAACACTTCAAAAATAATACTGTATAGATTTCAATTGTTGGCGAAGTAGGTTACTATCACGTAATTGGACAAATATAATTTAAGCAATACAACCAATCAGAACTCGCTTTAATGTGATTGGCTCGATTCAAATGTTTGAATCAAATTTGATTGTCATTCCAAGACTGGACAACCGAGGACGACAGCAACATCGGTACTCCAACGGTCAGACGCAACCAGCGAGCGCCAGTTCTGTCGTGCAAAGCACCTCCCGTACTCGACTTGGCAAGGCTGGCGATCGAAGGAAGACAAGATGATGGCAAACAAGAGGCACAGCCGCTGCGCCACGATGGGCGGTCAGGGAGCCAAGGAGATCATTCCATTCAAGGATGACCTCTTGGCATTCATGCGTGGCCAACGCGACGAAGAACGCTACGTCCGCGTGTTCCACCTCATGCAATGGGTCAAACAGTACCAGAAGGCTTGGCTAGTCCAGTACTTGGCGAGCAAAAAAAGCGAGGCGGTGGCGTTCAATTCGTTCCGATCTTTGCTGCTACGCTTTGCCGAGCGACATCGATTTCGCCACCGCACACCATGCATCAGCAAGGTGATCCAACGAGTGCTAGACGAAGTGTGCTTGGGATACGCCGCGTCGTTTTGGAGCAAGTACTGGGAAG